CAAAAAGATTAGTTGCAAAATTTTTCCAGGATCATGGTAATTGACAATAAAAGCACAAATTACTCAGAATAAATGGAGAAAAATATAAATCTAAAAAGTAATTATAATAGATTGGGTATATGACTGAGGGAGAAGGAGAAATGCCCCATTTCTGGTGATAAAATGATTTACTATGATAGAGTGTGAAAAATTAAATACAGAGTTATTCACGGGATGGAGATAAGGGAACTCTACCACTTTGTTTGAAGTGTACTGTGGGCTTCCAGGTATATAGATGTCAGATTGATCTGATCTTAAATTTGAATTCATAGAACACCAGAACTTGAAGAAATTTTTTAAGTCATTGAATTCAACTTAAAGATAAAAAATTATTTAACTGGCTAGTGGCAGAACCACGTTTAGAATTTCTATCTAGTTCATAACCCAGTATTTTTCTTAACACACTATCCATGTTCTTTGTGCTTCTCGAGTTTGCACAGAAATGTTCACCTATATTCTAAATCTAAACTGAATTAGAATAAGAAAATATGTAATCATGAATTCCGTGTCTGTTGATCAACATCTATTTCTGAGACCAGAGTGTATTTGAGTAGATGGGAATAGGAAATTAAACTCAACATTTAAAAATCTATTATTTCTTAATGTCCAGTGCTCAAGATCCTAGGTTCTACAATATATCAAATAAGTATCTAGATTTTTTAAAATAACTTCATTATCAAACACACACATACAAAAAATTAAAACCATTCAAAGAAGAACAATGCAAGGGGAAAAAAACTACCATGATATTCAAATACAGCAGAACTCAACCAAAACAAAACTGAAAAGCACTTAAACATTTTTCCATATAACTTAAAAAAGCATCTCAAGCACCAAAAAGACAGCAAAGGATGTGATTTGTTTCAGAAAGATCCCCAAAACCAACATTGAACAAATAATGATCTAGAAAAGAACTCCAGTTAGCTAGCAGACTCCACATAAGCCAAACTTCTCCTTAATTTAAATTTTGATACAGTCATATGACACGCGATGGAAACGCAATCCAAGAAATATGTTATTAGGCCATTTCATCGGTGTGTACCCTTAATTACACTTTCAGTTTCTTACACTAGAGAAACTATTCAGTATTTACACATGTGTCCTATTTATTTCACTTAAGAGGATGGATGGCCTCAATATGCATCCATTTAGCTATAAATGTCTCTAGTTTCTCTTTCTTTATGGCTGAGTAGTACTCTATTTTATTAAAAAACCACATCTTCTTTATCCAGTTTCCAGTTGATGGGCACTTGGGCTGTTTCCAAGTTTTTGCTATTACGAAAACTATTATGTGCAGCTATACACATGGGTGCATATATATCACTGTGGTAAGGTTCTTTTAATTCTTTTATGAAGATACCAAGCAGGGGGACAGCTGGGTCGAATGGGACCTCTAAGCCTAGTTCTTTGAGGTATCTCCATACTGATTTCCACGGTGGTTGCACCAGTCTGCACTCCCACCAACAATGGAGAAAGGTTCCTTTCTCCCCACAACCCCACCAGCATTTGTCATTAGATGATTTCTTAATAGCAGCCATTCTTTCTGGGGTGAGGTGGAATCTCAGTGTTGTTTTCATCTGCATCTCTCAAATGACTAGTGATATTGAACATTTTTTCATTTTTCATTTGCTACTTTAACTTCTTTGTCTGAGAAATGTCTGTTCATATCAGATGCCCATATTTGGATTGGGTCTTTGAATTTGGGGGATCTAATATTTTTCAGTTCTTTATTCTAGATAGTAGTCCTTTGTCTAAGGTACAGTTGGTGAAAATTTTTTCCCACATTGTATGTTGTCTGTTAGCTCTGTTGGTGGTTTCTCTTGCTGTGCAGAAGCTTTTTAATAAGATCTCAGTTGTTGATTCTTTGTGCAAGTTCCCATGCCACTGAGGATTTGTTCATCAAGTCTTTTCCTATACCAATATCTTCAAGAGTTCTACCTAACTTATCTTCTAGCAAATCTAGTGTTTCTGTCCTAATATTGAAATCTTTAAACCATTTTGATTTTAATTTAGTGCATGGTGATAGGCATAGGTCTAGTTTTAATCTTTGGCA